CCTTCCTCTCTGAAATCAATAAAAATACTATTAAAAAAATAGTTCCTCACATAAAATTTTTTAAAAAGTAGCATCCTTGAAATTTCAACAGCTGAATCAACAAATGCACTATTTGCTGTTAAGTAGCACTTATATTTATAAATTTGCATGCCTCTAGATTTTTAGTCTCAAATTAGCTTTAAATATGATGGTCAAAAACCTACTAGTAATTATCAAACACTAATTTGAAAAGATATATGTCCCCTTATGTTCATTGCAGCATTCCTAGTAACAGCCAAGACATGGAAGTAACCTAGATGTCTATCAATAGATGCCTAGATAAATAAGATGTGATGTATATATGTGAAACAGAATATTACACAACTCTCAAAAGGAATGAAATCTCGCCATTTGTGACAACATGAATGAACCTAGAAGAATTTTGCTAAGTGAAATAAGTCAAGACAGGGAAAGACAAATACTGTATGATATAATTTACACGTGTAATCTAAAAAACAACCTAAATGAATCAACAAAACAAAACAGTAACAGACCACAGATATACAGAATAAGCTGATGGTTGCCAAAGGGGAGGGGTGGGAGATGGGAATTTTAAAAAAACCTAACAACTTATCATTTTGCTGATGCAAAGAATAACATGGGTACTCCATTTATTGGAAATTCTAAGACTGCCTAACAATTTCCTGCCAGCATGAAACAATTTCCATCAGCAAACAATGGCACAATTGGTTAAAACAAAAAAGGAGCATTATAAAACAACAGTAAACTAATCCAGAGACGGATGCTCAACTGCAGCCAAGACTGTCTGAGTATCAGGTAACAACATCTCTCTCTTATATTTGAAAATGCAAAGACAAAGCTCTCCCCAATCCAGACTTAAGGGCAGTCTCATGGGAGTGTACTTAAACAACATGCCAGATGCACTTGCATAATGGACAGGCGTGGGCTTCCTCAAAGAAAATAGAAAAAGAGAGCTTCCTTGCTGAATGCATTGGCACAAGGCACACCTTTGTGACAGGTTATAGTACAGCTGCAGGGATGTCATCATTCTGATGTTACCACTGACCTGTAGATTAGTGAGAAAACCCCCCACATATTTCAGATTTTTAATAGTGAGTCTTACATTAAAAATATTCTCTAAATCTTCAATGAGGACATTTATGTTAACGTCCTTTATCAAATGAATCTTCCATTCAATACACTCAAGAATGTAAATGCTTCGGTTATAAGGTTAAAGAATTTCTTCAATATAAAAATATCTTTTAGTGGATTCACTTGGGCCATGATATCATTTCTTCCTTTGGCTTGTTCAGTTCTATGTTTTCTGATTCTTAACAAAGAAATTCTTTGTGGTTCCATGTTAAAGGCAAAGTGAGAAATTGTGGCCTCCATTATTCGAGACAAGGCTTGACTGGTCAACACTGCCTTCAACTCTTTTCTCATAATCACAGAGGTTCAGTTTGCATGTCACTGGATTAGCACCAGCTGATTCTCAAATACAAGGTGCCTTTGGAGAACAGCAGCAACAGAAGGCCCTCGCAGGGTCTCTAGTTTTGTTATTAAAAGACTCTCAAATAGCTTTACCAGGTACATCACTTCGTCCAGCTGTCATGGGTTTTGAAAAGTCAAATGTTTAGGACAGGTAGCATGGATAATAAAACCATAGTCACATGCAGATGGGGAGTCAGGTTTTTAGACAAGGGACTGCATTTCATTCAGCTCCAATGGCTGATCAAGACCAGAATTCTGCTGGGCTTCAAGGTGAATTTGAGAGCGGGCTGTCTGATCCCTTACAGGGGGGCCTCCTCACAGTGACCCATCTCAGAGCAGATGCCTCAGGTTGACAGATTCCTAAAGAGACCTTACAGTGTGCAGGTTCCTGCTTGAATATATGATTTCTTAAATCTATAGGTAAGAGATCACTGGGTTAAGGACATTTGGGATCTAATTGTGTCTGCCTCAAAGTGCAGGTAAATAAAGCCCAAGGTGT